TAATTTATTTTAAAAATTAAAATTTAATTTATAAATAAATATAATAAATAAAATTAAATTAAATAAAAAGTTAAAAATTTCTTAAAAATCTTCTCATTAAATAAAAACATCTAAAAACATTATCATTTAAAATAAACTCCTAAAAATAATTGTGCTTGTTAGATTAATTTCAACTTTTGCATTTTAAACAATATAGGATGTCTACCTACAGCCTAGTGTAGTGATTTGTTTATTGTAATATCATTACCAGGCATCAACAATTGGTTGTATTTTTTTATTATAGCAATATGCCTTTTGAACTGGATTTTTATGTTTTAATATATAAACAAATATATAGTATCTTTTCCACTAGTGATTTATACTTTTTTTTTTTCAATTTTTTAATATTAAACAATTGTTATAAAACACATAAAATTAATAACTTAAATGCTATTGTAAAATTTTCCAACATGAATCTATCAAGATAATGCAATGAATGGAAGGTCTATTGATTAAAGAACTAGAAGAATTAAATAAATTTTTCAAACCATAGTCATGGATTTTAGTATTATAGGATTTGATTTATAATGGCTCAATGGTTATCATTGTGAATGGCTCTCTTCATGCCCCTTTTCTATAAAATTCTAGATGGAGAGGGAACAAAACTAACCAAAATCTCCTTCAAAGACAAGGTTATGAGTTCTCAGGATGTTCTTCCAAGGAAGGAAAGAACCAATTTAATTAATAAAGAGTTGTTCAAAGCTATTTTGGAAGATGGTGATAGATTGAAACCAAAATGCTTCAAGGGATTATGGTTGTCATAGAAGGATGTAATAATTGTGGAGCTTCCTTAGAGAAACATTGTGTTTCTTACTATGTGAGACTAGTTAAAGGATGTTTGGAAAACAATAGGTGATTTTGACATTGTTGACATTGGATTTGGTTTCTTCATGATCAAATTTGACCTTGAGGCTGATAGGGATAAGGTATTCCTTAGTGGACCATGGATGATGTTTGATCATTACCTTACAATCAGATCATGGAAGCTAGATTTTGTCTTGTGGAAATTAGTAGCACAATGGTGTGGAGTCATTTTTTTAGTCTTGGGATGTATTTCTATGATGAAAATGTGATGTTTGCGTAGCTTTGATAGTGGGTAAACCAATTAGAGTAAAGCTAATGACTATGGATGCCTCTAGGGGGAAATTTGCTAGAGTTTGTGTGTAGATTAATTTAAATAAGCTAGTGGTGGGACTTTTTTGGTTTAGAGATAATTGGTTTAATGTTGAATATGAGGGCCTACATCTTATCTGCAAATGTTGTGGCTTGTATGGGCAGTGAAATCACACCCTAGACATAAGGCAATAGAGACAATGTAGGAAAATTCAATCACAATGGAAGTAGTGGGCGCAACTAATGCATCGGTGGGAAATAAGGACATAATTATGGTAACTGAAGTTGTTGATATCCATTCGAAATCTATTAGCAAAAATTAAGGGACCAATGATTTATATTAGGGATGGAAACAAGGGGAGGTTGGAGACGGGTTTTGTTCTCCTCATCCCCACCCCTCATAAAAGATGGGGCAGGTTTTAGTTCAGATTTTAAAGAGGCGTGTTTATATTTTTAAAACCCATCCTCATCCTCATTGAATTTTTTCAGGTTCAAGTAAACCCATGAGGACCCATCGTATTTTTTTAGAATTTTAATTTACTTATACATTTTAAATAAATTAAATTATAAGTTAATAATGATATTATAAGATAAATAATATATATAATAATAAATGAGAAAGAACTTGTAAATAGAAAATTTAACAATTAAATTATATTTTTAATTAAATGTATAATTTAAAGTTTGTTACTTAGTTATTGCTATAATTTAAATTATTTAATTATTAAAATAATTACTTTATATTTTAATATTTATAAAACTAAAAACTTAATTTTAATTTTTATATTTATATATTTATGTGTGTATATATATATATATGTGTGTGTGTTAAATATGTGAAAATTGTTAAATATTAATATGAATTAATTATTTTTTATCTAAATTTTAAAAGGTACAATACATCAACATAAGTATAACACTACAAGCAACTTCAGAATATGTTTAGACTTGTATTTGCCAAAAAGTACACACAAGAATATGTTTAAATTGAAAGTCATTGGTTATGAACTTCTCATTCATCGACCTTCAAGTATCTTCAGAGTAAGGGGTGGGAATTTACATACCTGAACCCACATCCGCACTTGATTTCTCAAGTCGAAGAAAACTTGTACCTGAACACATACCTAATCAAAGTGGATTTTCTCCGTCAAAATTAGGTCAGACTCGGACAGACAAGTACCTATGGATATGGGTTTAGTTGTCATGCCTAATTTATATAGGGATGGTTGGTGGTTAAAAATGATTTATATGGAGTTTGGGTTAGGACTAGAGGTGTCAAATAGGTCGGATCGGCTTGACCTAATTTGACCTACATGGGACAAATGTTGTTTTAAGTAAGACTAACCTGGCCTTCGGACTGCTATTTTTTTGCTTAACCTGATCCATATTGGGCCATTGGGCCAAATTGGCCTAATTAAAAAAATATATTTAAAATTTAAAATTTATTTTTAAAATAAAAAATAAAAATTATAACTATTAATTTATATTATATACTGTCATGAAACATGTAATAGTTTTACATGTATAGAATTTTTCACAACCATTACATTTGCATTTATCTACCCCATCAACTAGACCAACCTTTTTATAATAATTTCATGTCTCATAGGTATTAAGCTCACTTTTATTAGCTTTTTAAATATGTTGGTCTTCGTCATTAATTAATAATCCTAATCTTACTTTTATTGTGACTCCATGAGCATAGACACGAGCATAATAGTGTCATCTTCTTTGATAAATGGAATAAAGATGATGGGTCATGGGGTTAAGTCATTGAGGACACAACAAGAGCAACAAAATTCTCATAGCAACTAACCTTAACTTTAAGCTTGTAATCATAACTTTGTAAGTGAATACAAAAAATAAAAAACTATTACTATTATTTTATAATACATTACAAATTTACAAATTGATGATAGTTTTGATTATTTTACTTTTTAGTTTAATAAGTCAGCCCATGAGCCTACATAACTACACAATAAATGTGATAATAAATACATTTGCCTAATGTGCCTTAACAAGTAATCCTTTCTTTTCTATATATTTTGAATACATTTTAGTTGACTTATCCTTTCTTTTGACAAAAAGCAATCCTTGTCCTTTTCTATACATTTTGAATACTAAAGAAGATTTTATTCCTTTGAATTGGTAAGGTATAAATTGAAAATATATAATACAAATATATGACTCAATAAATGTGATAATAAATACATTCGTCTACAGCAGACGATGTGTTTTGTATAATAGAGTGTCATGCATAACTACATAATAAATGTGATAATAAATACATTTGTCTGATGTGCCTTAACAAGAGATCTACGTTATTGCCTTATAAAGTCATCTTTTTATGCTTCACAAAAGCATTTATGTTTGTAATCATTAAAATACAACTTTTGATGGGTCTTAATTCATCAAATTAAACCCTAAAGTGCAACTACAAATTAATGAGAAGTCTTCTTATCTTGTTGATAGCATACTTTGGGTATGGTTTGAGAAGATTTTTGGAACCTACCTAGTGAAGAGCACGTACAACATGTTACTACAAACTTTTGAAATAGACACTGTACCCATCGCTTGAGGACAATAGAACTAGATTTGAAAGACTCAGATTCTAACCAATACCCAATTTTTCACGTGGAAACTTACCCACAAATCCTTACTAACCCAAAGGTCTTGAAACACAAAGGCTTGGATATCACGCTTTTATGTCTAGTATGTTGCAACACAGATGAATCACTCACGCATTGCCTTCTTCTGTGTCCTAGAGCCACCCAAGTCTGGAATAAAGTAGGAGTTACGCAACTTGAGTCACCCTCATTAACCATTCCCTGGTGTGATTGGTTAAATGACTTGATATGCCAAGGTGGAGTGAAGGTAAAGGAACTAATTAAGCTTTGAGTTCTCTAGTACTCGAGGAACCTAGTAGTCTTTGAGACCAAAATGGAGCTTGCTTGGGTACTTGTGAACCACATTCTCTCAAAGTAAGAATTTTTTAGACATGCATTTGATAAACCTATTGTGACTACACGTGAAGATTTAAATGTTTCATAAGCTCCTCCTAATCTTAGGAAGTATGCTTTGAACTTAGATGGCAATTTGATTCTAGACACAGATTCAACAAGATTTGGAGAGATCCTTGTTTGGTCATTTCATCAAA